GAAAAGTTAAGTAACTGTGTAAGCTCATAGAGCAAGTAAGTTAAAGGGTCTCAGTTTTCCTACAAGGGAAAAAAATCAAGCAATTACCTCATTTATCAAATCTTTTTGATCTTGAAATGATATATACAGGTCTAAAGAAAAGAAATTTTCTTTAAAAAGTTTGATGATTTTCCACAGGTATGAATAAAACATACCACATCAGACTTTGAGGAGGAGACATTTAAACAGTCTCTGGAAGGACCTACATGACCTATGGGAAAGTGGTCACTGCTAAGTGACCTCTTCCTAACTTCCCATTAACTCATCAATCTACCATAATCTGGCTTCTGTTCCTTTCACTTCACTGACATTTCTCTTATCAAATTTGTCAAAGACAAAGATTTAAAAAAAAACAAATTGCTTTCATCTTACTCAAGTTCATAACAGTATTCAACACATTTGACCACTCCCTCCTGGAAATACTGTGCTCGCTTGGTTTCCCTGAGGACAGCCTCTTGGTTTCTTTCTACCTCATGGCCACACCGTTTCCAACTCCTTTGATGGCTCTCCTGGTTGTAGCTTACCTTTAAATTTAGGGGGATTCAGATCTGATTCTGAGAGTATTTCTTGCTTGCTCTCAACTCTCCAAGTAATCTCAGTAGTTTTTTGGGATTTACGTATCTTTGTGTTGATGACTCCTATATGGCTATCTCCAGTTCAGACAGCTCCTGATTCATTTCTAAAACTTAGTATGCCCAAAAGTAAACTCTTACTTTATTTACTCCAAATCTGTCCTGCTTTCCTTGCTCTACCCATCATCCTATATTATCAAGAAATGGTATCACTATCTATCAAATTATTAAAGTCTCCAGCTTAGCAGTCATTCCTAATCTTTTCCTTCATATTAGTATACATCCCATAGCCAATCCAACAGCAAAGGCCATTGATTCTATCTCCAATATTTATCTTGCACATATCCTCTTTCCTCTATTTCTACTATCAGTACCTTAATTCATGCTATGTTACCATAATCTCTCACTTAAAAGGGTCTTAACTTACAAATCAAGCCCTATCCATTCTACCTTAAGAATATCTCAAATCCTCCCTTCATCTCCATCTCTACTGCCTCCATTCTAACTCAAGCCATTGCAGTCTCTTACTTGGGCTATTGTAACACTCAATTCCATCTTAACAAGACCCCAACATTCACACTTAATTACCTACACGTGTATACTTTTTGCTCTATCACACAGCCAGTGTGCGTTTTTTTGTTTTGTTTTGTTTTTTAAAATATTTTAAACAAAGGTTAGGTTACATTTAAATGGCCTTTAGAATCAAACCCTAATTTCTTACCATGGCATAAAAAGGCCCAGCAACACAAAACAAAACAAAACAGTGACGGTCTTTGCCATCATGTTTGCTGTGTAGCAGGAGCTCAAGAATTACTCATTTAAAATCAAATAAGATCATTATGCACCAGGGTCAATTCCAGGAACTCTGCCTGCGATGATTAGAACTACTAACTGCCTAGGAGAGTAGTCCCATAGGGTAAGAACTGTAGTAGGAGGTTTCTGATGAAGACAGTCTAATTTCACTGCTTACTGGAAAAAGTGTGCCCCTGGAAACAGCAAATACAACTCCAACTCAATTCTAAAAACCAGATTTTAACAACGAAAATAAGCAGTGCACATTTCTTACCAGCTTCTTTTTCTTTCAATTGCAGAAGAGCTGGCATTGGAGGATGAAGAAAATAACAATTTTCATGTCTTTGTTTGAATTCTTCAGCAGCAATAGGATCTATACCTAGAGCAAACCAGGCAACCAACCCATCTTCCTCCTCTCTTGGGACTTCACCAGCAAAATTAAGTAGCTTTTCTTTCATTTCAAGTTCTACTCCAAGGAAAATCAAGGTGATCTTCTCAGGCTGGGCCAAATAATCCTTTATATCTGTGTAGTTCAGCTGACAAAGCCTGACTTCTGGTTGTTGGAAACTTTCTTTATTGCCACCTAGAGTGACCAAGGGATTTAAATCTGAGAAAAGAATAAAAACTGTGGCTGGATGGCTTTCTTTAGCTAGTAGCCAGTCAGAATTATTTCTCTTTTCACTTTTCCGGTCCAGTAGTGTTTTGCTAAAATAATTTTCACATTCTTCCACTTCATTCGTTAGGAACCAAGGCTTCTTCCCACCTTTGGCAGGAGTTAGTAAATCAGCTATATGCTTATAACCCCAAAATACAGCAATATCCAGTGCAGTCTGCCTTGATTTATTGACAAGTGATCTGTCACACCTATAGATAAAAGAAAAAATTGGGGAAAAAAGTAAAATATGAAATAAACACTTTCTCCTTTTATTTCAATAAAATATTTCCAGTTGCACATTATAGTTCTTCTTTTTAATGATTACATAGATTTTTTTTTCCTTCTGGTCCATAGTTTACCATTGGGAAGGTTAAAAGAACTATAATCATAAATGACAAAAAGAGATAGTGGAGATTTACAATTTCTGGATAATTACTTACAAAATAAAAAAGCATTATGCTTTATGCACTATAAACAGATACCAAAATTCTACAAGAAGTCCTTGGTAGTCATAGTGAGACTTGCATTTTCTATTTGGGAGAAAAATATTAGACTCCTCATAAAATTGCTTTGCTATAAAGTAATATTTTCTGAATGAAAAAGATTACAATGTTTTAAGTTAGAAAAATTATGCTACATTTTTACATAAATTAGCCAATGAGTTATCTACTAGTTCAACAATATAAATATGGAAACAAGCAAAATTTAAAAATAAATATGTAACAAAGAAATTAAACCACAAACCCTTTGAGGTGGTACAGCCTAAAATGTTTACCCTTTCTCAAGCAGAAATTGGACAATCTCTGGGTGCCCATTCCTTGCCGCATACATTAAAGCTGTCCAGCCATTTTCAGAAGTTTCATTGAGAAGAGATGGAGAATGACTGAGTATTCCTGTTAACTTGGCAATATCTCCTTCAGCAGCTGAACAGTGAAACTGTGTAACTATTTCTTGCTTTGGACTTCTTTTTACAGAAGACATTTCTTACTTAAAAGAAGAAAAATAAGGGAAAAAAGCTTATTTATAACTGCTTTATCAATGAATGATATTGTTAGAATAATAGCAAGGGCTTCCAAGGCAATACACTCTTCAAAAGGCAATCATTATACAGCATACATTTCAGAATGTTATCAGTTTAAAATTATAAATACAATGTAATTTATATGTCCATGGGAGTTACACAAAATAATGTATAAACAGCTTTGATAGTACAGATGAGGGGGCCATATCCTTGGGAGGGGGAACCAGGTAACATATTATATAACAAGGAGTTATTTAAGGACTTCATTATGGGATAGAGACATGAGGGGGAGAGCATTAAAACAGATGAAGTAAAGGCAGAGATTTTCTAAGTTTCACATGAAAACAGTTTATTTGTTTGACCTTGCACAATTCTGTAATCCATCTAGGATCCATTTTTGTTCATGGCGTGAGGTTGGGGTGTCAAGATACTTTTCTACCCCAATGCATAATCCATTGACTCAGCATTATTCTTGAAATTAACGTGTTTGTCCCAGTGCACTGACACAAATATGTCAAAAATCAGATGACCATGTATTTTTGGTTCTTTATTGGAGAGTTCTATTGGTCACTTTGTTGTTCTTGAATCCTAGTAGCTTTTAAAAATATTAATTTTATCTGCTTGGTTACTCTTTTGTATAAGTGGGGGAAAAAAACTGAGATAACTGTCCCCATACTTCTTAAATGTTGCCTAATCATGGATTGCAGATGGCAGAGCACAAACTGAGCTCTTTTTTTTTCTTTTTTTTTTGGGGGGGGGGAGAGTTGAAATGGTTTATGTTTCAACTGTCTGTGAACTTCTCAAAGTATTTTTTTAAGTATAATTTTTTATATGAAATGTCATTAAATGATTTGAGATTCTAACTACATTTCTATCATTCTAAGATTTTTTAGCTAAAAAGACAAAGATTATAGCTCATAGTTTTTGATAGCTGCTGTCTCCTGGGTTCTGAAAGGGCAATCTGGCTGATGAATTGCATAGTAGGAATAGTATAAACAAAATTTAGGGAAAACAAGGAGTAAAGATTAATTTTTTTATTTTGGAGTTGTTCACCTTTCCTGTTTGTGTCTTTCTGCTACTTATAAATAGGTTAAAACTGCTCACAGTCATAAAAACACTTGGATAAAACCTAATAGTGAAAATCTGTTTAGAAATGAAACTCTAGTAAAGGTAGTATCTACATGAGAGTAATTTTTTATTTATTCTAGAATTTACTTCGCTATTCCTTTCATAGAAATTTCTAAATACTTTTTAGAAATTATTTAGAGTAATTAAAGTATTTATGTTTTTATGCATAACAAAAGCTATAACTTTTCAGGACTTGACTTTGAAGCCCTGCTGTACAATTCCTGTATCGATCTCCCTTCCAAATTGCCTTTCTCTCAAGTTTATTTTCCATAAACCCATATTATACAGTTTTTTTCAGCTAGGTGTACTTTGAATAATATTTCACTCTCTCAGGTTCCGAGGTCACCAGCACTCCCGCACATTCTCACAGGGCACACCAGGTGACTGCAAAATTGTCCTTCAAAACTGCAGCATCATTCACTACCCCCAGGGCAAAGCTTATGCATATGTTATTCTCTGGAGATAGGAAGTGGAAAATGTACACTTTTCCCTCTAGCTTTCTCAGCAGAAAAGCCTTCGTACCATTACTCATTCTGGAGAAACGCATAAAGTCTAACACCCAATTGTACTGTTTGATTTACCATTTCAAGTCTCACTGACGGGTTACAGAAGGTAAGGATTTGAAGGCAGAATAAAGTGCTGCCCTTGTTTTCCAAGAAGCTCATGGACTATTCCGAGAAATCATTTAAAATAATATTAAATTTAAAGGGACATAGATTTTTAGCAAACCAACATCCACTTTTACTGACGGTAACCCGGGGCCCAAGATTTGCGCATGCTCAGATAGATCAAGTGGGGCAGGACAGGACCTCAAATACCGCTGTGTCACTGACATATTGGAATTCGATCATTTAACGAATTCCATCCACTCCCCGGGCTCTCAAAACCAATTAAGCACTACCCGTGCACGGCCTCTGAAAACGGTAAAATGCATTGAGCTAGTTTACTTTCTTGACACTACTGTGAGATTCCTTCTTTGCAGGTGAAATCACACGCTGAGTACCACTTCTTTCTACCCAACTCAGCTTGGGCAGAGAACTCTACCAACCTCAGGACCGTCTGCGCCTCCGCCCTGTCCCGAGAGCCACAGCAAACGCGTCCTTGGCTCCCGCGCCTGCGCCCACCTACCCAGCGTGAGGCTTTGCCACAGGACTCAGCAGGCCCGGGCAGGGCAGTGCGGAGACCAAAGAGCCCAGGGAACTGGTCACTGCCCCTAGAGAGGACACTGAGACGACTAACTTGCTGCTGCTTCTACTAACCGAAAGGTGACCACAGTAGAGGCAAGCAGGATACAGCCGAAGGATTAAGATGTCCTACTTTTCCCCGCGCCGAAGGCAGCCCTCCTGACTTCCGGTGGAGATCTGTGGTCTCCCGAGGCTTTATGGGAGTTGTAGTTTGAAGCTCACAAGCTGTGCACGATGGGAGAAGGGGCGGAGATTGGGGGTGGAGGTGTTTGGAAGCCGCGCGGGAGATCTCGTCCTAAAGGATTCGTGCTGAATGAAGGGCTGAAAATCCTTCTCCTGGCACTGTGCTGTATAGATGGAACGCGGTACAGGCGATCGGAAAACTGTAGGTCTGAGGAAACGATTTTAAATTTAACAATGTCTCTCACCCAGTTCCCCAGCCCTTTCTCCAATACAGTCCAATGCAATTGAGTACTCATTCTTTCCTGTTAAATAATCCTGGAATATTGGCTAGACCAAGTCACTCTTAAACAAGTTATTTGGCCTCTGTAACACCTTAATCAATCACCCCATGTGAAAACTGGTATTATATATTGAGGCCTAACTCATTCAGTAGTCCTTTCAAAACTGTGTATGAAGCGCCCACAAAACCTCCTTGGGTTGTGAGATTTAAATAGGATAATGCAGGCAAAGCTCTTAGGACGCTGTGAAGTGCAGAGCTGGCACCCACATCAAAATTATTGTTGTTATTTTTAAGTTCCTCCGCTTTTATTCTCCAAAACCTACAGTAGTAGAGTCCAAGATTACCAAACTAGATGTTGGCTGTCTTCTAACTTTCAGACCTTAGCTTTTTCCTTTTTTAAACTCTCTCCTTGGTAATCAGCAACAGCTACAGGGTTTCTTAAGATTGATCATTGTTTCCCACCCAGATTTTACCCTTGGAAACTCCTCACCGTGAAGCTGTATGCACCAGTTGACATTGATCATGACGGCTTCTTCTAACACCCTGTGCTTTTTTTTTTTTTTTGAGAGGGGAGTCTCACTTTGTCATCCAGGCTGAAGTGCAGTAGTGCAATCTTGGCCAACTGCAACCTCTGCCTCCCGGGGGTTCCAGTGATTCTCCTGCCTCTGTCTCCTCACTAGTTGGGATTACAGGTGTGCACCACCACACCGGCTAATTTTTGTATTTTTAGTAGAGACAGAGTTTCACCATGTTGGCCAGGCTGATCTTGAACTCCTGACCTCAAGTGAGCCTCCTGCCTTGGCCTCCAAGAGTGCTGGGATTACAGGTGTGAGCCACTGAGCCCAGCCACACTGTACTTCTTTATGTGACTAGTTGTCTTCAGGCTTTAATGATTTCAATGACCAGACAGGCAGTCAGAAAGGATTAGTTACTTCACTTGGAGTATCCAATATTGCATTCAAATATATGTTAGATTAGTATAATGAACCCTCATGTATTAATGATCCAGAGTCAATAATGATTAATATATATTTATCCTAGTTCTTAGGATTGTTTTGAAGTAAATTCCAGTCCCTATATTGTTTTGATGATAAATATTTAATAATAAACTTATTGGAAATGTGAATTATATCTATAATATAAGGGCTTTGAAAAATAGGCTGAGCATGGTGGCTCACGCCTGTAATCCCAGCACTTTGGGAGGCTGAGCTGGGTGGATCACAAAGTCAAGACATCGAGATCATCCTGGCCAAACATGGTGAATCCCCATCTTTACCAAAAATATAAAAATTAGCTGAGTATGGTGGCACACACCTGTAGTCCCAGCTACTCAGGAAGCTGAGGCAGGAGAATCGCTTGAACCCAGAAGATGGAGGTTGCAGGAGTTTGTAGTGAGCTGAGATTGTGCCATTGCACTTCAGCCCAGGTGACAGAGCAGGATTCTGTCCACCCCACCCCAAAAAAGAAAAGAAAACACAACTTCAATAGAACTAGTATGACATATGTAACAGTAATTCTGTAATAACAGAAACATTCAATATAAAATTTAGTCACTTGCCTCAGAAATTTTATATATTTTCCAGTTGATTCACTTAAACAAACTCTCCACATTACATTTGATTTTTAAAAATCTATGGAATCCTTCCTCTTCCCTTTTTTTTTTTTTTCTGGCAGTTTATTTGCTGAAGTGTGATAACCATTTGTCCTGCAGTTTTCTGCATTCTGTATTTTGCAGATTGCATTCGTGTGGTGTCCTTTTCCTCTGTATTTTTTGTAAGCTGGTAGTTAGCTTTATAGAATTACCCAGATTAAAGTGTGATTTTATTTTCCACAAAAGACTTTATAGGTGTTATTGTTTACTTTGTTTTGAATAATTTGTATTCTCCTGTGAGGTCTGAGAATTGCTTAAACCCAGGAGGGGGAGGTTGCAGTGAGCCAAGATCATGCCGTTGCACTCCAGCCTGGGCAACAGGAACAAAACTCCATCTGTGTGTACTCTGTATTCAATACAAAGTAAACTGATAACATGTATGATAAATATTATTAAAATACGGCAAATATAATTATGAGTAAATGACATTGATATATAATTATGATAAATATAAATGTGCAAATATATTTAAATATTAACTTTAAGATAAATATATTTGTTATAAACATATGTTTTTCCATCAATTTTTTAGCTAATAGTTTTATCAACCATTCATTATTGTCCACATTCATTATTTCCTTATGAGTTGCAAAATAGTGATATTCTAATTTGATATTCACATTTGCTAACAAATTATTTTATCATAAAGAACTTCATCTAATTATCTATAGCTTATGTGGAAAGATAGGAAAAATATGTGAATTTCATAATTATTTCCTAATTTTCTGAATAATTAGTTAGTTCCCTAATATCCTTCAGGTTTTTAAATATATAAACATGCCTTGTTTCATTGTACTTTGCTTTACTGCACTTCACAGATAGTACATTTTTTACAAACTGAAGGTTTATGACAACCTTGTAGCAAGCAAGCCTATAGGCGCCACTTTCCCAATAACATGTTCACTTTGTATATCTACCATATTTTGTAATTCTTGCAACATTTCACACTTTTCCATTATTATATCTGCTGTGGTGATCTGTGATCAGTCATCTTTGACTTTACTATTGTAATTGCTTTGGATTGCCACAGACTACACCCATACAAGTTGACAAACTTAATCAATACCTGTTATGTGTGTTCTCACTGCTTCATCCACTGGCTATTCTTGTCTCTCTCCCTCTCCTCAGGCCTCCCTATTCCCTGAGATGCAACAAAGTTGAAATTAGGCCAATTAATAACCCAACAGTGGCCCCTAAGTGTTCAAGTGAATGGAACACTCACACATCTCTCACACATTTTAAATCAAAAGCTGGAAATTATTAAACTTAGTGAGAAAGGCATGTCAACAGACAAGACAGGCCAAAAGCAAAGCCCCTTCTACTGAAGAGTTCACCAAGTTGTGAAGGCAAAGGAAAAGTTCTTGAAGGAAATTAAAAGTACTACTACAGTGAACACATGAATGGTAAGAAAGTGAAACAGTTTTATTGCTGATATGGAGAAGCTTTTAGTGGTCTGGATGGAAGATTAATCCAGCCATCATATCTCCTTAAGCCAAAGCTTAATCCAGTGCAAAGTGCTAACTCTCTTCAGTTCTATGAAGGCTGAGAGAGGTGAGGAAACTTCAGAAGAAAAGTTGGCAGCTAGCAGAGGTTTGTTCATGAAGTTTAAGGAAAAAGCCCTCTTCATAACATAAAAGTGCAAGTTGGTGATGGAGAAGCTGCAGCAAGGTATCCAGAAGATCTAGCTAAGAGAATTGATGAAGGCAGCTGAACTAAACAGCAGACTTTGAATGCAGAAAAAACAGCTTTCTATTGGAAGAAGATGCCATGCAGGACTTTCATATTAAGGGGCAACAAATCAATGCCTGGCTTCCAAACTGCAAAAGACAGACTGGCTCACTAATTAGGGACTAATGCAACTGGTGACTTTAAGTTGAAGCCAACACTCATTTACAATTTTGAAAATCCTGGGGCCCTTAAGAATTTTGCTAAATCTACCCTGCCTATGCTCTCTAAATGGAACAACAAAGCCTAAGTGACAGCATATCTGTTTAAAGCATGATTTACTGACTTTTAAGCCTACTGTGGACGCCTGCTATTCAGAAGATAAGAGTTCTTTCAAACTATTACTGTTAATTTGACAATGTACCTGGTCACTCAAGAGCTCTGATGGAGATATACAAGGAAATTAGTGTTGTTTTCATACTTTCTGGCGCAATATTCTGCAGCCCACAAATCAAGGAGTAAATTTGATTTTGAAGTCTTATTATTAAAGAAATACATTTTGTAAGACTATGGCTGCCATATATAGGGTTTCCTCTGGTGGATCTTGGTAAAGCAAATTGAAAACCTTGTGGAAATGATTCACCATTCCAGATGTCATTAAGAACATTTGTGATTCGGGCTGTGGGCAGTGGCTCATGCCTATAATCTCAGCACTTTGGGAGGCCGAGGCAGGAGGATTACCTAAGGTCAGGAGTTCAAGACCAGCCTGGCCAACATGGTGAAACCCCATCTCTACTAAAATTACAAAAATTAGCCCAGCGTGGTGGCAGGAGCCTGTAATCCCAGCTACTAGGAGGCCCTGAGGCAGGAGAATCGCTTGAACCCAGGAGACGGAGGTCGCAGTGAGCCGTGATCCCGCCATTGCACTCCAGCCTGGACAACAAGAGCAAAACTCCGTCT